TGCTTTCATTTTTAGCATTCCCAGTACACATGACTGAGACTTTTTTGCCCATGTCTTTTTGTTCAGAGGACTATCCTATATAATTAGGGTTGTTTCTAAGCTCAATTTAACTCTTTAAATCACAAAGCAAATCGAGCTAAAGTCTGTAATTTTGGCTAATGACTAGTAGCTAAACTTGCTAAGTTATATATATTAACTCATTTAACCTTCACAACAACCCTGAGATAAAAATTATCTCCAGTTTACGGACAAGGAAACTATGACATACAGGGGTTAAGCATTTGCCTCCAGTCACAACTAGAAAAGTAGGAACACAGGCTGTGTTCTTAAAATGATTTTAAAATGCTTATTTTTGTTTAACCTGTTAATAACAAAAAGGAAAAGATTAAAGCATAAATTATGTCTCCTACCTCCTTTTTGCTTTTACTACAGTTATTCATCTTTATTTTCATGTCATTTTTATATCCTCTTATGCAACAATCTTTTCTTCTGGAATAAGAATAATAATATTAATGTCTCTTCAAATCATAGCCACTAGGGGAGTAAAAGTGTGTGGTATTTGTGTTTTTAAATATTTTTTAATAAAAGCTAATTTGATTTTATTTCATATATTAGGACATAATTATATAGGCTACTTCTTTGTTTTTGTTTTCTTCATTAGCTGTCTTCTCCCAGTATTGAGATGAATTACCAAAGTCCATTGTCACTTTGTAAGCTAAAAGAGAAGTCTGTCTACACACCTGTATCAGCCCAGGTAACTTCAAAGTCTTGTGGAAAAGGGGAAAAAGAGACTGATGACCCAAAAAGCTGCAAAAAGAGAAGAGCCTTGGATTTCTTGAGTAGACTGCCTGTACCCCCACCTGTTAGTCCCATTTGTACATTTGTTTCTCCAGCCGCACAGAAGGCATTTCAACCACCACGGAGTTGTGGCACCAAATATGAAACACCTATGAAGAAAAAAGAATTGAATTCTCCTCAGATGACTCCACTTAAAAAATTTAACGACATTTCTGTTTTGGAAAGTGATTCGATAGCTGATGAAGAACTTGCACTGATAAATACCCAAGCCCTTTTATCTGGTTCAGCAGGAGGAAATCAACTTACATCTATCAGTGGGTCCACCAGGACTGTTCCCACTAGTCCTAAGGATTATGTTGGACTGAAAAGGCCTTACACTACATCTGTGATCAAAGAACGAGAGACTTCCCCAGCCAGGACTGAAGAACAGGAGACTAATATGCAGGACACAAGTGCAATAAAAAATATATCCAAGAGACTGCAAAGGCGACAGAAACCAAAATGACAATTAAATTAGTTATTGACTCAACCTTTCCAGTTTGTAAAACATATACAGTTTCAAACTGTACATTGGAATTTGCATAATGAGGAAAGGAAGGAAATAGTTAAAAGTTTATCTGGTATTTGTATATCACAGCAATGCTCTTTCCCTTTTTCTTCATTGGTATATTCTTATTTCAATTATATATCTTAAAATTGTGTAACTATATATTAACTAATCAAGAAAATCTCTAAATGTTTATGACTGGGTTTGATCACTGTAAGTATTACAAATGAAGTAAACACAACTGTTTCTTTTAGATTGTGTCAACTACAGGAAACTAAGTAAAGTTATTTTGACTCATGTAATTCTTTTTGGTTTAGTTCCATTTTAGGTTTGTTTTTAAGAGGTAACCCACTATGAACCAGTTTTCTATAATGCACATGTTGGTTCTAATACAGTTTTTTCCTGATCAAAAAAGTCAGGATGAGTAAGATATTACAGTGGTGTTTTCTTTCAACCAGTCCTTCATCCTTAAGTCAGCATGACTACAAGAAAAATAGAACCCTCAGTGCACTTCCTTTTTCTGATGCCATTTTGATCTGTAAAATTAAATTATTTATTAAAAGTTGAAATACAAAAAAAAAAAAAGTTGAAATACTTTAAATCAGAAACAGACTTCATTGTGTTAATTTGTTTTTATTTCTTAACAAAATGATCACCTGGACTGCAACTTAAGAGAAAATCTTTCAAATTGGTACTGATTCTCCTTGCTTTTAGTCCTATCACAGGATGCAGCAAGCAGTCCCTTTTAAACCTAGTTTTCTCTAACCACCATAACAGATGAGAACCATTCAATTTAAGATGGTATTCTCATTTGTTACTTTAATAGAGGAAAAAGAGAAAGCAGTTCAAACTAGAAGCTAATAGCATAAAGTGTTTTAGTATGTCTTCAATTTATATGCAGTATCATGTTTTAAAATCTCATTATAAACACATCTTAAAGCCAAGAATAAATCCTTTTAAAAAGCAATTTCCTTCCTTCCATAACTGTGACCCATGTTCTTTCTCGCTTCTGAAAATTAACGTAATAGTCTGTTCTGCTATTCTTTCTAACTTAAGTGTTCTGCCAGTCTTACTAATGTGATTTAACTTTTTCTCATAAAACAATTTAGTCTTCATATCCTAATCATTTTCCCAATGATCCATACACTAGAACAGGGAATAAAACTTGAGTCTCAGCTGAACAGAAAGAATTATAAGAATTCAGCCTTTTTATTTCTTGAAAAAACTTAAGCTATAAACTCCTTCATTTTTCATTAGCATTTAGACTACCCATAATGGAGACATCTAACATACACTCTGCTTTTTATAAACTGTAAATAATATAGCCAAGCTATATAAATAAAATGTGAAGCTTGAGTATATATGGATATTGTCCCCCCAAAAGTGATAATTTAATGATTACAAACTCAGCAATGCACACTGCATGATAAGGGTAAATGGTAAAAGCAATTTGTGTTACTCAACAAACACTTAATGAGAGCCTCTTGTGTATATAAAGCACTCTGCCAATCCTGTGAGTGATGCAAATGTTAATACACAAAACAAGTCAGTGTTAAGTGTTCAAAAATTTTAAAAAATCAGGAGTCATGGGTGTTAAAAGAAAAAATAGGTCATTTCTAGATGGGATAAACAAAGTTGGTGGCATTTTATTAATGATTTTATGCTCCCAAAAAGGCAAATATATCAGGGAACTATTCTGAGCTCTTTCAGAGTAGGACAAATACAAAGTAGCCCAGTCCAGGCTAGGTGAACCAGAAACCCTAAGCAGAGAGTCCAAAGTAAATCGGCGGGGCTTGAGTTATGATCCTTTAGCTGCTCCTATGGAATTGAGCAAAGGAACTTTCATCTGGACTTTCTGACACTTTTCACCTCTACTATCCTAAATGAGTCAAGCCACCCAGAATTCTGCACTGACCTAGGGACCACGTTGACTAGGATTACCCAGGACTATCTGGGGTCTGGAAAACAGGAGTACTGTTAATGTGGATTATCATTATTATTAGATTATTATGTGTTGAGCTTGGATACACAGAATTTAGCCAAACTATGCTTTAGATTCATTCAAATTCACTTAATTTTAGCTTGTTGGGCAAACTTTGCTACTCAAAGGAGACATCAATTTTTTTTAATGTTGAAAAAATTACAGATCATTGCTGGTAATCATCAAGATGTTGAATAGATTTCAATAGTACTAAATATGGAATATTAAAGTAATACAGTCTTTCTAATGTATAGAGATCAAATAATTTATACACACAAGTAAAATATAAAGTTGCTTTTATCTTTACCTCTGTGTCTCCTAGTCATTAAAGAAGATGGGTAAATATAGTTATAGAAAAACTAGTTCTTAATAGGGTAGAATTCTGTGGTATTTATGGTAAATAAGTTTTTTATTTTCTTAAACCCCCCAAAATTAGATTCAATGACAAGTCCATATAAAGCAATACCATATATAATTTTTAATAACCATAAAAGCACCATTATATAGAACACTTAAAATAATACTTCACAAAACATTAGAAAGAAGTTGTTGGCCAACAAGAAATAAAGCATACATCCTACATGGTCTTATCTGTGGTCTCACACCAAATTAATCTGATTCCAACCTGTTAAAATTTGATTTTGTTTCATAAATTCAATATTAATATAAGAATTGTAGTAGAACTTTGTCTTAAAGCCTCACAAAACACTGAGGCTGCTCCTCACAAGAGGAGCATGACTTTTCCTGTTTCCATGTGAGGACATCCTGGGATGCTTCATTCCTTGTACGCCCAAAACTTTGGAGCTGCCAACTGATAATACACGTTTATAGGAATAATTTTTAAAAATTGATTAATTATTCCTCTTAAAAATTGGTGTTTTATAAAGGCAGGCTTGTTTTATGTACACTGTTAGCTCAACAGCCAAACAGGTTTATCCCTGTTATCAAACAGGTTTAACCCTGTTTGATAAAGTGGTAGTTAAAACACAAGATGTGACTTGAAACGACGACACTGATTTTCCGCAGTAGCTTGTATCGCTATTAAGATTTTAACAGATATTTCTAACAGTGACACATCGCTAAAATAAAGGGATAATTTCCCAAAGAGTCTACTGTGAAGGACAATATTCCCTTAGGTGTATACTTCCTGGTGTCTTCATCTTAAAGGAAAATCAGTATCATCATTACAGCCACACAACTCACATTTTTGGATACACAGATGATCAAAAGTAGCAATGCCACTAAAAAATTGTTCCTGCCTATTTCTCCCCCACCTTTCCAACTTTCCTGATGGAGATGAATTTCCTGAAAAAATAGACTGCTTCAGAGAAAGGGCTACTGAAGCTTTATATTAAAAACAGTTCATTAATGAGCCTATGTGGCTGATTACGTTCTTGGGTATGTTCTCAGGCTTCAGTTTTGAATTAGTTCTTTCCTTAGAGAAAGGACTTTGTTTAATCAAATCAGCAGAATTCCCAGCATCAGACCATGCACATAGGATCACTTTAACAAATGCTTGTTGAAGAGGCATGTAACGACTTCTGCACAGAAACTCTCAGGCTTGACTATTTACACTGGAATTAGAGCTCTGACTACCACTGAACGGAGAATAAATACCAAAAATTGAAGTAAAAACTGATTTAGGAAAATTCAGAATGCCTGTAAGAGAGGCCTCTAATACCCGTGGTGACAACCACCCCTTCTGTTAAAGGAGCTCTCATTAGTGAAGCTGCCATGCGCCCTCCGGTTTGGGAACTCTGCGTAGGCGTTCCAGTACCCTGCACCATTGGAAGGAGATGCATTATTCCTGTCCTGGTTTCTGTTCGCTCTGCTTGGTTTTTCTGCGTGCAGCACACTGTAAAAGGTAACATCATGTTCATATCGTTCTTTCATTCGGTGTATTTTCTCTCTCGGGACTCCATGAATGTTTCTTCTATGTGGGAAAAAAAATGCAAATGTTTAGTTAAGGCAGCATATCAAAATGAGTTATATTTTACAAGTATTTGTATTTTACAAGTCCTGTATTATTACACAGATATGCACTCCCTATTCTCAAGATGGAACTCTGACAAAAGCAAAACATCATGTTAAGCAGTTATCGTTCAGCTCAACTGTTTTTCATGCGGCCCTGCACACCCCCAAGCTACCCTGAGGCTAGCAAAGAGCTAAAACATCAAAAAATGCTGTTTCTGGAAATCTCAATTCTGTGCTTCAAAACATAAGACAGCACCATGAGCTCTTCTTATGTGTTTGCCAATTTGTTATGCATATATCTGTAATCACTTAGGTCAGTCCTCGATAGTTCTACATCCTTATTAAAACAACATTCTTCAATTCTCATGGACATGAGAATCAACTGGGGATATAGTTTTGAAAAGTAATTATCAGAGATTTCAACTAGGAACGGGGTCCGTGAACTAGGACTTTTAAAAGTATTTATTCTTTATTTTTTTGGCTGCGGTGGATCTTTGCTGCCACAGAGCAGGGCTTTCTCTGCTGGCGGGGCACGGGGCTCTCACTGCAGTGGCTTCTCTTGTTGCAGAGCACAGGCTCTGGTGCGTGGCTCCAGGAGCTGTGACATGTGGACTCAGCGGATACAGCTCCCAGACTCAGTAGCTGTGATGCACGTGCTTACTGCTCTGCAGCACGTGGGATCCCTCTGGACCAGGGATCGAATCAGCATCCCTTGCTTTGGAAGGCAGAGTCTCAACCACTGGACCACCAGGGATGCCCCATGAACTAGGAGTTTCACAATCACCTCAGGTGGTTCTGACAGAGGTGATTCACACATCCCTTGGGAAACACTATCTACTTGTAACCATAAGATGAATTAGACTTATTCCTAAAAAGTAAACTCTGACCTCACTGGTTACATTACCAAATAGCACAGATGGTGAATTATCAGAACCCATGCATTCAATCAACAAGTTAGTATTTGGACATTTATTGCTTTACAAACTAGAAGCAGCATCTAGACCATAAATGAACCACAGACTGTTCAATATTTGAAGGTCTTTGTTTAGCCTAAGTGCAAAAACACCACTCACAAGTGCAATCCCATGCAGAGGAAAGTGCTTTCAAATGTCCATTAATGAAGAAGCATTTTAGCAGAATGTTAAATATGTCCTTATTGAGGACCAAGTCCAAGCTAAGATTTAGCATTTAGCATTATATTAGAAAACTGACCCCAAAGTAAAGTCTTTCACATTAATAATTTCAAAGTTATCAATTTCCAAGAATTACCATTTCTGGCCTGAAAACTACCATGTCCATTTCCAGCCTGAAAAGATTCTTTTGTTCGGTCTGAAATACCTGAAAATAGCAGGATACATAATGAGGAGCTAGAAAAACAAAGAAGTACCTTGCTAACTCTTGAACGTTGAATTTCCAGCGAGTGTCAGGTTCTCGGAATATAACTTCATAGTTATTTTCAAGTGCCTGATTTTTCAAAAGTACATAAAACATTGAAGACATGGTATGTATGTTTGGGAATGTTTATGCTGCCATTTAACATTTACTACAAATCTTTTCTAACCTTCCTTTTGTTTAACCAGTAATTCAATGCCTTAATTTATGTTAACAAATACAGTTGGTGCATATCCATACTTAGCCACTCTCAGATTATATTATGGTTCCCAATGATAAATTTTCAGTAATTCTATCTACTATGTTGGAAAATGACAAAAGTTCTTTGTTTTGAACCTTTAAAAAGATAGACAGTTGAACTAGTTTTTTTTTTTCATTTATTTTTATTAGTTGGAGGCTAATTACTTCACAATTGAACTAGTTTTAAATTCCCTGTCCATAGGAATGAGCAATGAACTCCAATGGTTTGCCAAAGTCCCATACATGTGATTATCGTAGATTCACTTTCGTCAAGTGCCTTGGCCTAGTCCTCACACCTTGCTTTACAAAGTGAGAGTACCAGAGGCACAGAGCTTGGGAAATAAAAATGATTTCCACATACTTCACATAGTGTTCCCTCCAAAACGTAGCTCTCCCATCCATGCCACATAGTTTGGCTCAATTCACCGTGCTATATTTCCTTGAGTTTAGAAAATGATTACCATTTCCATGGAAATATCAAATGTTCTTTGCATTACTTGACTACTACTTATTTTATCTCAAATTGAACTTTCTGTTATGACTACTGTTTGTTGTGTTATAAAATACAGAATAAAATGAGCTAAGTAAGGGGATTTCCTCTTCATTCTTTAGATGGACACTTCTAATTTCATAGGGATATAAAATATCATACATGGAAAATATCTAGTTTCTGCGTCCTAGTAGTAGCTGTGGATGGCTGGGAAAGATTGTGCATGTCTAGAAATTAGAAAATAAAAAGTAAAATGACTTTCCTTAAGCCACTCTCAGTTAAGCCCTGTCTCTTGGTTCTGAGTTGTGCCTTAATTAACCTGACTCTTCACATCCCTGTCCATTTTTCTCCTAAGTGGATGTTTGATCCATGAACTGAAGTAACCACAAAGTTGATGCTCATTCTTTCCTACATTCAGCAAAGTCCCACAGTCTGGGCCTAAGTAAAACTGATGAAAGTATCTAGACAAAAGCACACCTCTATGTAAGTTACTCTGCCCAAAATATTAAAAAAGGCTTAAAAACAGGCTGCCATGAGTCCAATTTTAGAGAGATTCACTTTAAAATTAGCCAAGTAGGGAGAATACTCAGCTGTCTTCTTCCTCTCCCTGTATGTTTGTGGATCTTTTCTTCTTAATACACACAGTAAGGAATGAAAACATATTAGCACAAAAGATGACATTTGTCTGAAAAATAGATCAGACATACTTCATAAATAAAGAAAAATGTACACATTGCTTCATTCATCTGACTGTCCTGACAGTAGATGGCTGAACTATTACCTTATACGTGCATTTATATTTGTATTCTAATATCTTAATACTGTTACAGTGTTACTCCTGAATCTGTGTTTAAACTAAGAAATTCATTGCCCTGGAACTCCCATGCAGCAGCAGCACCCATAGTCCTGAAGTCCCCAGCGTGGCAAAGACAGAACTGTCCTATGGACATCATCTACAGCTCCACTGGAGGCATCACCTAGTCCAACACTTCTCAGCAGGTTTCAGCAGATGCTCCTATGTATGCCTTCCCTTAGAAAAACAACCAAGACAGAATGCTGTCAAGAATTCAGACCAAGGGCTATTTTTTAAATGTACCCTGAGGTAGTATTAGCATCTCAGCAAATTTCAGCCACTGAACGGCAGAGAAACGCTAAAATAAAACCTCTTTACCTGATCCCTGGAAGAACTACTAGTAATGAATATGAGATCATTAAGACCAAAAAAAGAAGAAAGAACAAATGTTTCAACTTTCTCACAAAATGTCCAGAACTGAAAATTCAGAATGATACTTCTTCCTACCATGACTGCATAGGGCTTCATTTCCCAGGCGTGGAGGTTGGTATTATCAATAATAATGGGGGATATGCCATTCCTCATTGCTTTTCTTGCTGCAACACAATGTTATATAACAGTGAACAACATGCAACAATCACAGAAGGGCGAGTGTACTCCATATTTTGTTATTTTTATTACAGGATGTCCTCATTACACAACTTTAATAACACCTACTTCAGAACCCATTATCAAAAATTTTCTTTTTCCTGGAATCTAGGGAGGTTACACTCTGGCATTCTGTTTGAGGGGAAAACATGGCAGAACTTTAGATTAAGCTCCTTCCATAAATTTTTTTTCATTTTGCAGGAGCTACAATCTATGTGCACAAGAGGATTTCCCAGGAGCTTGGAAAGGAATCTGTCACCTCTTTTCTGGTTCCACTCATGAGCTTCCTCCAGGAAGTCAGGATTGAATTCATAGGCACCATCTTCCCTGAAGAAAAAATCATCCGTGCTGAAAATCAGGGCTCTGGGAAAGTCGTGTTGCAATTGTCTGGAGAGTGGGGAAACAAACATTATTTTATGACCATGCATTTTCATACTATAAATCATTTCCTTCCATCTCTAACATTTAGCAGTTTACACTTGTGAGACCACCAGGTTTGAGTTGTTGAAATTCATTTTAAAAAGAGAGATTCTCTCTAGAAGGTATCACTCCTGCATAGGGTTAAGGAGAGGGCTGAGAGGGGACTGGTGTGTTGCCCAACTCTTTAACAAGTGCTGTCACCACCGCACTGATGTCTGCAGCTACCAGAACTGATTCCAGATGAAACCCTGGAGGCTTCGCTGCAGGGGTGACAAGAGTGGGCACAGCCCTCACTGACGTTCCTCTATGACGCACCACTGCCCAAGGACCCCTGCTGCAGCCCCTTCCTGCACCCCCTTACCTGTCCTGGGTCCCCTCGCCTTGGAGCTCTGTTCTCCATAAGGACCCATGTGAGACACTGGTTCTTGCTGAGGTATGAAATGTAGATAAAAGTGATGTGTGTGCTACCCCTAACAGGTAACATTTTAGCAGTGACCTAAACCAAATTCTAAAACCAGCAGAAGATGCAGATTCAACATTCCCTAGGCTTTCCTAAACTTATATCACTCTCTCTGAATATGAAAATGTCACACACAGAAAAAAAGAAAAAGCATCATGGAGTCCCCCCTTTAAAGCAGGGGGAAAAAACGGCATATGAAGTTTTGCATAAAATAACTTCAAAGAGAAGATATTTCCACATGAAATCCTTGTTCAGACTTCTTTGGGGGAGAAGATGGCTATTGTGCTAGACAGTAACAAAGTAACTCTCTGAGCCTCCTTTCCTCACCTATAAAAATTGAGGATAACAGCACCCATCTTGCTAAGTGAAGATGACTACCTAATAACCTGGGGAAGTGCCTCGCACGGCGCCTGACACAATGAGCACACGATTCTCTCCCTTCTCCCTGTGTCGCTCCCCAGTGTAACTCTAACTTTAAACAAATTCACCAGTCAGATACAGTCCATAACAAAATGGCCGTGCTCAGAATAAAAAGATACTTAAAAGTTGGAGGAAGGACTTCCCTGGTGATCCAGTGGTTAAGAATCTACCAATGCAAGGGATGTGGGTTTGATTCCTGGTCCGGGAAGATTCCACATGCTGCAGAGCACCTAAGCCTGTGCACCACAACTGCTGAGCCAGCATGCCTAGAGCCCATGCTCGGCAACAAGAAGCCACTGCAATGAGAAGCCCGCACACCACAACTAAAGAGTAGCCCCTGATTGCCACAACTAGACAAAAGCCCACACAGCAACGGAGACCCAGCGCAGCCAAAAATAAGTAAGATTTTAAAAAAAGCGGGGGGGGGGGAAGGAATGTTGGAACATAACAAGAGCAGGAAATATAAAAAGAAAACAGAACTATTCAGCTCTGTTTGTTCTTCTCCATCAAGAATTCTCTCTAATCAGGAAAGAGCATAAAGCATTGAAACCACAGATAATGAGTAAAGCACCTAAGCTGCTTGAAACACTTAGGTTCAGTTCCTGCCATTCTCCTAGTGCCATGCAGACTCTAAGCTTCTGTGTTCCTGACTGAAAACTTGTATAATATCACGACCTATTAAACAGAGCTTCTAGTGAGGATGGAATGAGGTGAGGTACAGGAAAACATTTTTCAAGAGGTAAGGTACTTTACAAACACAAGGTACTGTTATTTTATTAATCATAACAAATGAAGTCAAATTTTCCAACCAAAATTCTTTACATGCCATCATAGTAAAAAGTGCATTGGAGTGTGTACATACTAGGAGGGGTGGCAAAGAAAATGTGGCCATTTTAATTACACCACAGATACAGAAACGGACATGAAAGGCAAGTATAAAGATCTGATAAAATGGATTTGCATAGTTTCTTTGTAAATGTCTTCTGACTGTAAAGATACTCAAACTGAAAAGCTCAAATCAGATATCCAAATGTTAACCTCCAGGGCAAACAGTTATTATAAAGACACCATAGAAGAAAATCTAAGGGCAACACTAACTGCATTTTCAGGTGTGCATATTTTATATTTGTAAATGCTTTACAGTTTTTGAATTATTTTCATCAATATTATCTAGTCTAAACACGAAAGCTTCAATCAGAGTTTAAATAATATTGTGTAATTGTTTTCCTTATCTTTTGTGTACTAAGTTAAGCAACTCTGGATATTAGTTTCAAAACTTCTTAAATATCCCTTCTAAATCTGGCTTCATTTGTTTTCCTATTAAGTCTGCCACTTATTGGTTTGGTTTTGTCATTTTCAGAATGGAGTTTTTCTTTTCATAGACATAGCTTTATCTCCTCTTTATGGTTTATATTATCTACTACAAGTTAATACTCTAATATTTCATTAAAAAAAAAAACCTTTTAAGGCATGTGTTCAATTCACATTTTATTTGAATTCTATTCCCTTCTAAAAAACAAAAAAGAAAACACAGCAAAGAAAGTATCACCTTGTTTGCAAAATTTTGCCTTAGAGTAAAAGTTAAATTGTTCAGGACCACTATGGAGCTGAACCACCTGCTCATCATTTCCCAAGACACACGTGACTATAGCCTATATGGTCCTCCTAACAAGCAGGCAGGCAAAAACAGGACCGTTTTTCACCTTTACAACTCTAATGGAATTGGGGGACTGGATAAGATGAAAGAATTGACTTTTTGATCTTACTGAATGATCGTTCCTTCAAAACTTGTTTTAGCCTCACCTGAATGTTAAATCAGCACTGGCAGTCATGGTACATTTTGAATACACAAGACTTAAAAGCTCTCCCAACTAAATGAAGAACTGGTGAACTAAGCAATCCTAAGAGTCTCAAACTTCAGTGGAAGCAATAAATACCATTCCATCAGCTTCAGAAGTGATGAGCATAATGCCCCAGCTCTAGCATCCTTTATGGTGGTCAGGAGCCTCATGCATTAGGGAAATTGAGAGAATGAAAAAAAAAGACAATTACATCCACATAATTTCACCTCTGCAGTGCCCCCTAAACTCACCTGAAACTACTACTATGAGAGTAACTTAGGTTCTAATCTTGATTTCATAACATCACTCTTTTGTGTAATTCTTTTAATAATAGAGAACCATTTGAATATATTTAGATATCTATTAGTCACTCACCCACTCATTGACAAAGTCCAACATTAGTATGTAACTTTGAGTGGTACCCCTTATTATTGGAATTTTCCAACATGCAAAATAGAATAACATAATTATTCCCCATATAACCATGGTCCAGCTTTAATAATTATCGTTATATGGCCAGTTTTGTTTCATCTGCTTCATACTTCATTTCACCAAATATCTTTCAGTGTTCAAATTTCCCTGATTGTCTCATAAATATATTCCTACAATTGGTTTGTTTGACTCAAGAGCTAAACAAGATCCATACTTTGCATTTGGTCCCCACATTCCTCAAGTCTCATTTATTCCATATTTTTCCCTCTTTTCATTTCCACCTAAACTTTCCCTCCACAACCTTTTGTATTTAGAAAATGTTCAAACCTATAAAAATAAGTTGAAAGAATACTATGAACACTCCTTACCCTCCATTATTAACATTTTTGTTAACAATGTTAACGTCTTGCCTCATTTATTTTACTTCTCTCACATGTGTATTTTTGATGTGCCATTTAAAAATAAGTTGCAGACATCATGATACTTTGCTTCTAAATGCTTTATCAAGTATCTTCTATAAATAACATTATCCTAAATAATCATGTCACAACTTAAAAATGGAATTATAAATTGTTATATATACTATACATAAACTATATACTAATTTATATTACAATTTTATATTACAGCTATTTATAATGCATGCACGCTCAGTTGCTCAGTTGTGTCTAACTTTTTCTGACCCCATGGATTGTAGCCCACCATGCTCCTCTGTTCATGGGATTTCCCAGGCAAGAACACTGGAGTGGGCAGCCATTCCGTTCTCCAGGGGATCTTCCCGAGCCAGTGATCGAACCTGGATCTCCTGCATTGCAAGTGGATTCTTTACCTCTGAGCCACCAGGGAAGCCCTTAGCTATTTATAATAGCCAATGTCAAAAAAAATAAAATAAAATAGTCAATGTCAATAGATTTTCTAATTTAAAATTTCCTTCACGGTACCAATAATATCTTCACAGCAGGTTCAAGTACTTCACTTCACAGGTTCAAGTACAGCATTTAGCTATTAACGCCTCTTTAGTGTCACTTAATCTAGTCTTCATGCCTTCTCTGGTTTCCCTTTTTTTAAAAAAAAAAAATTACTTTTAATTGAAGGATAATTGCTTTACAATATTGTGTTGGCTCCTGCCATAGGTATATATTTGCTCCTGCCATAGGTATATATATAATGGCTCCTGCCATTCATCAACATGACTCAGCCATAGGTAGATATTTGCCCCCTCTCTCTTGAACCTCCCTCCCTGCTTTCCCTTTTTCAAGAGTCTAGTCAGTTGGCTTGAGAATGCCCCACATTCTGGATTAGCCTGGTTATTTCCTCATAATTAGATCCAGATTGAACATTTTGGAAGGAAAATACAGAGGTGATGTTTGCATACCTGACTGCACGTGATGACCATCTGTACCATCCTGCTAAGTTTATCACTTGGCTAACAGGTAGCATCAGCTAGCATTGCTTCCCTTGTGATACTACATCATGTTGGAGTTGGGGGGGGGGTGGTTGATGTAACAAGAGGCCCCGTGTAACATCCTATTCCCCAACAACCTTTCCTTCAATGAGCTTTATATTCATTGCTGATCACTGCCAAATGAGTTATTACACTGGGAATAGCAGAATACTGATTACTTCATGTAATTGCTTCTGTATTTACTAGGTGGCATTGTCTAGTAAAGAAGAGCACTCTGTCCCTTTCCCCTTTTAATAATGCTTACCATCGTCTTTCTTTATGATGCTCAAATTGTCCCAAACTTGCCCAGCAGGTGCCCCGTAAAGCTGGCTCCTGTGTCTTGGTCTACACCAGCCTTAAAAATACTACT